GGCTCCTGCCTGGCCTGGGCCAGGGCCAAAGCAGCGGGGGTCGTTCCCTCACTGTTTCCAGGATGGCTTCGCGGGCCACATGAAACCACTTCGCGGGCCACATCTGGCCTCCGGGCCTTGTGTTTGACATGTCTGCTTTAGAGAGCCCGTTGGTCTAGAATAAACCTACCTTCTTTGGCCGAACACCATTATATCTGGGGCCCAAATGACCTGTGCTAGTTAGTTAATCGGTTAGTCACCTATCACTAGCCCTCCCTTTTTAAATTCTTCCTCCAATTTCCTTCAGCTGAGGGAATCAAGTACACGTAGTCCTCATTTATTTAGTGACTGCTCAACATTACAACGGCACTGAAAAAAGTGACTTATGACCTTTTTCACACTTATGACCGTTGCAGCATCCCGTAGTCACATAATCAAAATTCAGACGCTTGGCAATTGCCACATATTTATGACAGTTGAAATGTCCCACGGTCGTGTGATCCTCTTTTACAACCTTCTGACAAACAAAGTCAATGGGGAAGCCAGATTCACTTAACAACCGTGTTACTAACTTAACCACTGCAGTGATTCGCTTAACAACTGTGGCAAGAAAAGTCATAAAATGGGGCAAAACTCACGTAACAGTCTTGCTTACCAACAGAAATTTTGCGTTCAAATGTAGTCGTACATAAAGGATTACCTGTATGTCATTCAAGGGAAGACAAACTGTCCAGAGCATAAAATATTCAGTATTTTACAAAATGTATACAAGCAATCCAATCAATATGTCAGTAAATGGAATTCCCTTAAACCATTTCTTTCTATGAAGAGAGCTATCCTACTGAAATGCACACCATCGTCTTTAGACAAAAATGCACCTCAGCATTAACACAATGTCTGTGGAGATTCTCAGTCACCAAGGTCATAGTTCTCCCAAAGATGCTTTTTCAGGAGGCAACTGGAGTTTCTTGTTTTTCTTTGAAGGTGTTTTGCTTCTCATCCAAGAAGCTTCTTCAGCTCTGACTGGATGGTGGGGGAATGGAAGGATTTATACTCCTTGCAGACAGCTGGTCATTTGCATTCTTTTAGAGAGTCCTTGATGCCATTTGGAGGTTTATCTGTGTCATCAGGGTCACCTTCAGCCAACACAACATACATGCACACTTCAAACCCAAGAGTACACTAAGGCAGAAGCTTGTCCATCCCAAGGATAAAACACCCAGACACAAATGCAACAGTGTAGTATATTCATTACAATGCAGTGAGCCATGTGCAGATCTGTACATTGGGATTAACACAACCACTTCATAAACATATAGTACAACATAGGAGAACAAACCCATCAGGACAAGATTCAGCAGTCCATCTGCATTTAAAAGACAAGGGCTACTCTTTTGAAGACAGCAAAGTCCATATTTTGGACAGAGAGGACCGCTGGTTTGAAAGAGAGGTCAAAGAGGCCAATGTCAAAATTGAACAGTCCTCTCTCAGCAGAGGGGGAGGGATATGACATCATCTACAGTCTACAACAGGGGTCCCCAACCCCTGGTCTGTGGACCGGCACCGGGCTGCGGCATGCCTGAAACCGGCATGTCCATGCAAACAAGCAAAGCCCCATCCGTGGGATGCAGGCAGTACATGAAACCACGCACCCTCCAGTCTGCGGAAAAGCCTCTCTACAGAACCGGTCCCTGGTGCTCAAAAGATTGGGGACCTCTGGTCTACAACACAGTTCTTTCAACAGTTCCAAGAAGGCTCCACACCCATCTGCACTACTCAAGTGTCTCTGACGACACAGATGAACTTCCAGATGGCATCAACGATGCTTTAAAAGAATGCAAATGGCCAGCTGTCGCAAGGAGTATAAATCCTTCCATTCCTCTCCAGTCAGAGCTGAAGAAGCTTCTTGGATGAGAAGCAAAATGTCTTCAAAGAAAACCAAGAAAGTCCAGTTGCCTCGTGAAAAAACATCTGTGGGACAACACAAAATCATCTTGCCTCCATTTACAGAGTGTCATCAAATACACAGCAGTCTAGTGAGGCTATCCCCAACTTTCTGTGTTTGTATGCGCTGACAACACTTATGCTGGGACTTTTGTAACTAATGTCTTAGCCACTTAAGCATGCTTCTCATTCCTGTGGCTGAACTCAGCATGGCATGCTCTTTAAAAGGAAAGCAGGAATGACTGAAAACTTACTTAACTTCAGAAGTACCTTATTTATAGCAACAAGAAGGTGCTTGCTGACAAATAATAAAAACCACCCTGCACAATGAAATGATTTTAACTGTTCTCTACTTCCTTATTTGAAGAAGAAAAAATAACATTAACACTGCTGTACTATGATGAAGGAGAAAAGGCTAAATCCCACCTTAGCCATGAAAGCCATCTGGGTGACTTTGAGCTAGACCAGAGGTAGGCAACCTTGGCTCTTTTATGACTCGTGGACTTCAACTCCCAGAATTCCTGAGCCAGCCATGCTGAGGGGAAAGGGAGAGGTTTCCAAGCTGAGCCATGCTGGCTCAGGAATTCTGGGAGTTGAAGTCCACGAGTCATAAAAGAGCCAAGGTTGCCTACCCCTGAGCCCAACCCACCTCACAGAGTGGTTGTTGTGGGGAAAATAGGAGGAGGAAGGTGTGTTGCATAGGTTCGCCACCTTGAATTATTTGTAAAAATACTAAAGGTGGGATACAGATAAATAAATTGGCAAAATGCTTCACTCAGGAATAGCTTACAAAAAGAGTATCTTTCGAATGTTTTTAAAAAGAACGAATGAACAATTAAAAGTTTTCAACAAGTTGAAAAAAGATTAAAAGTTTTTTCCTATGCATCTTATTTGGTGAAAAAAAAATCTAAAACTTCAAAAGGCTTTTCTTGCAGCTTCCCCAGCCTAGTGCTTTGTCTTGAACTGGTTTTCAACTCCCATAGATCCCAGCCATCAGGGTACTACATTGGAAAAGTGGCTCTATTTCACTGATAAGTCCCTTTTTAGTGACAAGTCTATTTTGCATGTTAAAGGCTTCTCATGAGTGCTCTAGCAAAACAACTGCTAACAAGCAGAATTTGCCTCCCCACCAGAGTTGCCATTGCCAAACAACAACAAAAACATGACAGTTACTGAAAGTACTTTCCACTACAGTTCCACTTTGAAACAAGAAGCATCGTTTTTTTTTCTTTAAGAACAATTTTATATAGGGTCATTATAATATCAGGCCAGCTTCATCTTTACTTAACATTAAATAAAAGCACCTTGAAAAGGTAGCAGTATGGGGCAGGACAGAAATGTAGGCGGATGCCAAGAGTGGGAATATACCAGGATTACTTTGTCTACTTCTGATTAATTAACTTTTATTCATGCTCAAAGTTGAACCTAGTAAAAAGATGTCATAAAGCTGAGCACAATTCATGGTGACTTCTGGACATGTCCATGTTGTTTTTGTGACAACACTGAGGAAATGATTTGCTCTTGTTTTCTTCCAAGATTTTTAAAAATTGCTATGTACTCTACAACCTTGGGATATTCTATACATAGTCTTCCATTTAAGTATTAACCACAACAAAAGTTTCTTAGCTTTTTAAAAACCAAGCAATATCAACCATGACAAACATGTAAGTGAGGTTTTGGTGAACTATGATTCATCTTCACTCTAGTACAAATCTGGGAAATGACAAGACAAGGGTGATGTGAACCTAACACCAGGATATGTTCAGATAAATCAACCTGGCATGAATAAAACAATGCCCCACTATGGTTTCTTCACTATCTCCTAGATGTGTTAACAGTGTTAACTGTGTGTGTTAGGAAAATCTGGTTTATTTAAAGCTCCTGTTTGAGGAGGGTTGTATGTGGACATTACTAATGAAGTCATAGTTATGATTTTTATAATATTGTATATATCAGTGGTGGCGAACCTATGGCACGGGTGCCAGAGGTGGCACTCGGAGCCCTCTCTGTGGGCACACGTGCCACTGCCCTAGCCTTGCCTCCCCCTGCGACCCTCTCCTCACCAGCAGCCCCCCTGGAAGAGTTGCCCTTGAGCGTAGCCCACGCAGAGCAGCGCAGCCAAGGACATGGCAGCCAGGCAGCATAGACAAGACTCTGCCCTCATGCCCCATTGTGCACAGTTAATGCTGTGGGGCGCGGGCAGAGGGCGTGGCCGCCATGGCGCTGCTGGGCTATCTGGGTGATCTGCGGCGGGCCCTGGAGGTGGTGAGTGGCCCTGCGGGCAGGTGAGGTGGGGGCAGGGCAAGGGGGGTGGAGCAGGGGCGGGGCCAATTTTTGGGCACTCGGTCTCTAAAAGGTTCGCCATCACTGGTATATATAGTTGATTGTGTTTATAAGCCTCTCAGTTTTGGCTTTTTGATTAATATTCGTATATAAATAATGAACAGGAGTCAAAAAGAAAATGGAATTACCACCTGTGTTTGACCATGTTTTAAGAGTTAAAAATAAATCAAGAGGGAAACTGGGAGGAAACCACCCCCAATGCTTGTCCCTTACTGCAGGAAGAAATAAAGGAAAGTAAACAAAGGCTAAAGCAAATTTGCCAGGGAAAACCGGAAGAACTCTTTGCTAAGAACTGGGGAAGAGACCTCACCCTTCCTTCGAAATTGTGAGCAGTGGATGCAGCCTCTTTTTGTTGAGGTCGTTATTCTTAACGCATTGATTACATTCAAGAATCTAAAATAAAAAGACGAATTCAGCCTCTTTCTCCCAGAGACGTTTGATACGCGGAGGTGGGAGTAGAGTAGACAGGAAAAAAGAGCGAATGACGGGAAGAAAGGAGGACAGGGTTCAAGCAAGAATCTAGGCAAGGGCCGGACAAACCCGATTTAATGTAGGCTTCTTCTGGCAGGGAGAGTCTTTCTTCTCCCCCCCCCCCCAACTCCGTCCCTCCCGAAAGCCACCGTCCCAGGCCATATTTGGTCGATGGTCTCCCCATCCCCCCCTCTTGTAAGACACGAAGCAGGCGTCAGCCCTGCCCGCTTTAACCTCCTCGTAACTCTTGGTCTCTGGCTTACCTTCCGTCTGCGGTTCCCGGGCGTTAAAACCGCTGCAGTGGCTCCAGCCTAAGAGCGCCAGGACGAGCCAGGGCCCGACGACCCTCATTTTCTGGACGTCTCGCCCGGGGAGCGCCCCGATTTCGTCTACGGCTTGAAAGCAAGAAGAGGGCGGTAGCAGGGGCGGGCGGGAGGTGGGGGGAACGGGACAGACGGAGGCAGCTTCCGCGGCCTGGAGTCGCTTCCCCCTAGACGAGCTCCACCTAGCTGGCGCCTTCCAAGAAGGGGTGGGACAATTGCTGGACTTTTTGCAGGAGAATCCCCGCTAATTGGTACTGGCTGCGGGAAAAGGGAGGGCGGAGGAAGGTTGGCTGGTATTTATTGGTTGGGTAACCAAAAAAGTTATAAATCAGCTTTTCTGTTTATTTAGGGTTCCCTGCCGTAAAGCTTCGTAAGTTGGGCCTACGTCAGGGGTAGGCAACCTTGGCTCTTTTATGACTCGTGGACTTCAACTCCCAGAATTCCTGAGCCAGCCATGCTGGCTCAGGAATTCTGGGAGTTGAAGTCCACGAGTCATAAAAGAGCCAAGGTTGCCTATCCCTGGCCCTAGGGGTTGCCTGCTTTGGGTTTTCTTATTTAACTATGTTTCAAGGGCACAATTTGCTTTGCAGGAAAGCCTTTATCCGGCACCGCGCCTGGGCTCATCTCTCCTCCTCCCCCTCCCCCTTGTCGTTACCATGCCTGGGTTGCAAAAAAAAATCCGGACGGCCGCTGTGATGGCTGCAAAGGGAAACCTAAAACTCGACGTCATCCGGATTTTTTGCAGTTCCGATATAGCACCTTATTCTTTGCGCAGGAGATAAGTAGAAGGCCGAACTGGGCAAACGAAAAATAGAAATCAGTTGTCTTACTGTCAAGAACACTGAAGGGGTGGGCCTGTGTTGTCACCCGGAACCAAGAGGATTGAAAGGAGACCCGGTTTTTATCAGTTCAGGCTGAACGAGATGGTGATTTTTTGCACGCTTGAATGGGATTCATCACCCACCTCCCCAAATACAGGGAAAATAAACGCACCACACTGAAAGGCCTCCTTTATTCTACTGCCACGCTTACAGTTCTTCTCTAAGTAAATATAGGAGTCCCGCTATACTCTGAAATGTTACTTTGCATTACTATTGTTGAAGGAAAAGTCTTCATCGTGGTTCAGTCCAAGCCGGGAATAAACAATATGGCGACTGCTTTAGAAAGAAAGTTGCAGTTTATTGAAGAGGGGAGCCAGACAGAAAGATGGCTCTGGAAGAAAAAAGAATGAGTAGGGAGTGGGTTTTTATACCCTCTGGAGCCTTTTGTTTGGAGTTGTTCCTGTGGCATGGACTTTGACCTGAGTCTGAGTGTGCCTTTCTGGTATTCTGGTGGTGGTGTGTTAATCCTATTATGTCTCAAAGGTCATATCCTGCTTCTCTGGGGCTGGGGCTGATGACTCTTAGATTTTTGGTGTGAGGGGTTGTTGATTCTAGGGATCTTTCTTCCTAATCCCAGTTTCCTGACTCCAGTCTTTCTGACAAGATTATCACATCTGCATTTCTGCAGACTTGGTTTCTGTTTGGGACAGAGAGACATAGGGGGGTGGGTTGGTTTCTGCCTTTAAATCCTTTAGGGAAATATATTCTGTCTTTTAAATATTTCCAAAAATATTTCTTTCTTGGGGGGGTGTGTGACTTCCCACACCATACAGTTCAGTTTGCTTCCTGAGAAGGCTGCTCAAGGTTGCATCAAAAGGGTTTGCTTAAGGTCTGTTGTCATACAGTATTGCAGAATGTGCCTCCCAGCAGTGTGTGGTGCATTTCCTCAGAATATGATAAGATAAATTACTGTGTAAGGTGTGGTGCTTGAATTGCAGTGCTTGAATGTAACAAATCATTTTGCCATATCTTGAAGACAAACATTCTGCTGGACAGAAACTGCTACAGGTTGTCCTATAGATTGGAACTATGAAATCGATAAATGGACATAATTAATCCTAAGAGAAGGCCAGACCATTCTGCTAATTCAGATAATCCTAGATTTAGAATAGAACAACAGAGTTGGAAGGGACCCTGTAGGTCATCTAGTCCAACCCCCTGCCCAAGCAGGAGACCCTACATCATTTCTGACATATGGCAGTCCAGTCTCTTCTTGAAAGCTTCCAGTGATGAAACTCCCACAACATCTGAAGGCAAACTGTTCCAAACTGTCAGAAAATTTCTCCTTATTTCTAGGTTGAATCTCTCCTTGATCAGTTTCCAACCATTATTCCTTGTCTGGTTTTCAGGTGCTTTAAAAAATAGGTTGACCCCCTCATCTCTGTGACAGCGCCTCAAATATTGGAACACTGCTATCATGGTCCTTCTCTTCAGTAGACTAGCCATGTCTAGTTCCTGTAACCATTCTTCATATGTTTTAGCCTCCAGTCCCCTAATCATCTTTGTTGCTTTTCTCTGCACTTTTTCTACAGTCTCAACATCTTTATTTATAGTGTGATGGCCAAAACTGGTTGCAGTATTCTAGGAGTGGTCTTACTAAGGCTTTATAGAGTGGGTATTAGTACCTCACATGATCTTGATTGAATCCCTCTGTTAATGCAATTTAGTATTCCACTGGCTTTTTGGCTGCTCCCTCACACTGTTGGCTCATATTTAATTGATTGTCCACTAAGACTCCAAGATCCCTCTCACAGTTACTGCTATTAAGCCTGGTTTCACCCAATCTGTATGTGTACTTTTCATTTTCCTTGCCTACATTTACAACCATTCATTCAGTGGCTGTCCAAAGTTACAACAGCACTGAAAAAAGTGGCTTTCAACTGATCCCATAGGCATGACTCACATAGCATCCCCACAGTCATGTGATCAAAATTCAGGTGCTTGGCAACTGGCATGTATTTAGGATGATTGCAGCACTCCGGGGGTCACATGATCGCCATTTGCAACCTTTCCAGCCAGCTTCTGACAAAGTCAATGGGGGAAGCTGTATTCACTTAACAACCCCATGATTCACTCAACAACTGCAGTGTTTTGCTTAACAATTGTGGCAAACAAGGTAATAAAATTGGGTAACTCACTTAACAATTACCTGGCTTAGCAACAGAAATTCTGGTCCCGGTTGTGTTCATAAGTCAAGGACTTCCTGTATATCAGGATGGATGTGGGAAGTAGATATGGAACAAGATTTTAGTACCAATATACAGTAGTCTGTTTAACTATATTTGGTACATTTAACAACAGAGGAAAAAAATCTTATTTTATTTTACTAATATTTTATTTCAGACTTTTCTGGATATTAGCCTTAACAGAAAGTACCAGACAGTCTTTACTGCTGTTTTTCTAGATACCTCAGAGTCTTAAAAGAGATGCCCTGTCTTAGCAATTAGCTGATGCTGTTACATTTGCTGTTTGTTTTCACATACCATGTATGTAGGGCCTAATTTTATATTAAAACTACCGCACTAATGAGGTCAACTAATTCTCCCTATCTCTGATCTTATTAGAATACTGTGTTGTCATCTGCTGTTTTTTCAATACCAAAAGTTACTTTGCCTGGGAAAAAAGTATTTGCATCAACAAAGGTAAAGAAACTTAGTGGGCAAGGAATTTTGGATATAATGTTATGCTTGAACAATGGGAGAATATGTGGATGAAAAGTTTTAAATTTACATTAAACTATAATTTAAAAGAAAACTTCTATAAGATGATGTATCGCTGGTATTTAACACCAGACAAGTTATCCAGAATGTATAAAGGTATTTCAAATGAATGTTGGAAATGTAAGTGTAAAGAAGGGACCTTTTATCATTTATGGTGCACATGTGTTAAAGCAAAGAAATATTGGAGTAGGATTCATATTCAAATACAGAAAATTCTTAAAGTGAATATAAAGATAAAACTAAAAACCTTTCTTTTGGGTTTAATGGAAAAAGACTTGGGGAAAAAAATTGGAACTTTGATGTTATATATGTTGATGGCAGCAAGACTACTCTATGCACAGAAATGGAAGGACATTTCGATCCCCACAATGGACAAATGGCTGCGAAAGTTGATGGAGTTAGCAGAGATGACTAAATTGACTGATTAAAGGAAAAAAATATAAGTACTTTTGTTTCTACTTGGAAACTGCTTCTGGATTTGTGCTTGAAGTGGGAAAAAATGAAACCTTGATTTTAGGTTTTACTGACTAAAGAGATTTGTTGCTATAGAAATGGCTAGTTTATACTATTATATAAAGGTAAAAAGTTGAGGTTTGATGTTATGTTTTATTCTGCTGCACTAGAGGGAATCGGAAGTCAGTGCCTTTTTTTTCTTTTCTCCCTTCTTTTCTACACTTCTTTCCCCTTTCCCTCCCCTTTTTCCCTACTATTTGCTTTTGTATTTTTTTATTTTATATTATAAACTAAGAAAAACTATAAACACTGAAAAAAAGGTAAAGAAGGGGTCCACATACGACTTTCATAAAGCTAAAATGTTGAGGCACTCCTCCTAAGCTTGTATCTCTTTCAGCAATGCTTAAACCAGGAGTCTTCAAACTTGGTCCTTTTATGACTTATGGACTTCAACTCCCAGAATTCCTCAGCCAGGCACACTGGCTGAGGAATTCTGGGAGTTGAAGTCCACAAGTCATAAAAGGGCCAAGTTTGAAGACCCCTGGCTTAAACAGTACTGGCTGAGCATTTTAAAAGTTGGAATCAATGTTGGGAAATGCTGAGCTAAAGTATCAGTGGAAGCTATGAAAAAAATACAGTGAGCAACTCTGAAATAGGTGCCTTGAACTGTATTATTAAAAGTCCATACAAATCAAAGGGGCATGACTTGGTAACTAAATCAGACTGGATCTCATAAGCACTTCAAGAAAGAACATTCAGAGATAGTTTCAGCACCATAAAAAGATTATTTTTCACATCAATGTCTATAAAGTATCTAGTGGTAGATCCTAGATATGGATCACTTAACAAAGCAGATCTAAAGGGAAGAGCTAATAATCCTGCAGATACCCAGAAACTAAGAAATGTGTTTGAGCCCAAATGAATCACACTAAAATTTAATTTATTTATTATTAAGCAAATTTGCGTGGCTGCCTATCTCGCAAAAAGTGACTCTGGGAGACATACAAAAATGT